AAAATCCTTCTGGTTTGTTTTTTTATGTATTTGCTTATTTATTTAATTTCTGTTGTAGTTTGCTCTTTCTGCCTTCATTCAGGAGGGCTGGGGGTGGGCTTCAGGAAAGTGCAGACTGAATGAAATAACTTCGCAAAGGCACTGACCAGCAGGGCCTGGAGCGACGGAGGATAACTGGAATTTGGAAAACTGAGCTCTTAAAGGAGGGAATGAAGAATCCAGATCACCTAATTGAAGGTTGGCCTGGAGCTGCTTTTGGGTTGATTTTGCAATAGAGGCCCTAACTCTATTCCGCCACAAGCATTAAACAGAAAAGGTAACGCCACAAGCATTAAATAGAAAAGGTAACGTGGTTTAACTTTTACCATATTGATCCACTAGTTTTCAACCTGCCCTATCTTATGTTATAGCCGTGAACATAAGTTATTATTGTTATTCTAGGAATGCGGGCCAACTCAGGGCAGACACAACAGGGCCATGTCTTTAGAGAAGGAAAGTTCCATAATAACAGGTATTCTGAAAAGAAACATAAGCACATAATTAAATTGCAGAGTCATTGTTGGAAACAATGTTTCAGCTGTTGAACACCAAAAACAATTGCTGGTGGGTGGGGGAGTGGGAATGAGAACAGTCTAAGAGCATTGTTGGCAGGCCAAGGGTCACCAAAGGAAAATCTGAGCTGGGCGGGTCAGCAGTACTCAGCCTGGCTCTTGGCAGTGAGAGCTGGGAGCCGCTTAAAAGGAACTCTCTGTTCTCAGTCTTCCCTTCCTGGATGGCCCAAGTCACTTCAAACTCCTTTCTGGAAGGATATCCCTTGATTTCCAGGTTCTGACCTTGTCTCCCCTTTGTGTCTCTTCCCCAGCTTGCATCTTATCTCTCTTCCTGACGCTGGCTTCCTCTGAGGGCCTCAGCAATGCTCTTACAAATTTCTCTGGGTAATGCCCCCTTGACTGAACCTGCCTTTTATCCCAGGGAGAGGTCTGCTCAGGACCAGCACTTCATGCCCTTATGGAAGGAGCCTGGACTTGAAAGCTATGCAGATGTGGCTCTTCCATTTATTAACAGGGTGAACTTGAGCAAGTGTCTCCAGCTATAAAATGGGGATAATTTATCTTATTGGGTTTCTGTGATGATGTGACAAGATAAAGGACCTAGGACAGTGAACAGGTCCACTCTTTGTACATGGTAGCTCTCATTAAAAGCAAAGAGCAGGCGAGGGTGGGGTGTGGGGTGGATACATTTACAAATACCACCATCCCACCTCACCATTGATAACATCTGACCGACATCAGGTGTTTAGCCTGTGCAGAAAAGTCCTGCATAGATGGAGCCCCCAGCTTCCTCATTTGTCACCTGCTCTAATATTTCACAATCTGTGTAATCAGGAAATTGTTCTTAATATCTGACCCAAGTTCCTCCTGCTACAATGTGTCATAGAACACTTATTTTTAAAATACCGCACAGACGCATAAAAATGAGCAGATTTTTCTGTTAGCCAGAGGCATTCACTTGCCTTGGGTTTGCTCTTATCTGCAAGAAACTAGTGAATATTTACTTGACCACTGCAGACCAGGAGTATGCTGGACTGTGCTGGACAGCACAGAGAGGTGTGACAAGACTCCCTTGAGGCTCATGTCCTGTTGGGTCCCGCAGTTTCTCTTTTATTTTTCAGTTGCAGGTAAATGATTCTGTCGATTTATGAAGCGTAGGAACACAGCAAAGGAGGTTAGTGGGACCGATCACACTGGTAATCAAGGACCAATATACAACTTGGCTCTGACAAGGATTGAAATGAAAATTGTGTGTCAGTTTTCAACATTTAAACAAATGGCACTAACCATCCCTGTGTGACACGTTATTTTATTCAGACCCTTGAAGACATTTTTCAGCTAATCCTTCTTGCTGGGATGTTAGTATGACCCCTCTTTTCAGCTAAGTGGCCCAGAATCTTAGTGTCTATGAAATAAGAAGCTCTGTTTGGAGGGAAACGTTTGCCTTGCCTGGCAGCACAGGGCAGGTCTCTCAACTTTCACACTTGTCCACTCTGCAGACCATAGACAGCCTATAGGTGTGTTTTGTTTGGCATCACAAAGTTTTGCTTTTGTTTTTGAAGTTGAATTGGTGCCCAAGCATAAAAGTTGATAGATTCACAAGATCCACGTTTCTGGCTTTTCTTGAAAAATGGAAGATCTAGAAAATACTGGAAATACATTTTTTCCTGGTACTATGACCTGGATCTGAATGAGGCCGGTCTATTTAGATGGAACCACCACTACTTATTGCTTCACTTCCAATCAGTTTTGTTCATGTATGGACTTGCCTGGGCTCTGAAAGCATTTGAATTGGGACTCTTGGTCTGTGAAATCCCCTTTGGTCATTGACACAGAGCACAGCTGCTAGCCATCTCTTTCTCAGGGTTCCCTATTTTCTCCTCTGCCTTGAGAAATGGTACTAAGCAGATGAGTGCTTGTGATTCCTGCAGATGTGTCTTCCCTGAGTTTATAGTTAATGTCCATGGTTGAGCTATTTCACCACAGTTGAAAACATTTCTTATGTTACTTGTTGGTCCTCATATGAAGATCAAGAGGATGAAACCCTCTTTGAAATTTGTTTCTCTATGTTGTTTCTAGGTTCTTCAAAGTCCAAGAGTCTTTTCTGTGGACAGAGAAACACCCTCTACAACTTCCAATATAGCTGGTGCTCAATTTATCACAGTTCTATGCCTAATAAACAACACTTAAAAAAGAAAAATTTCTTAAAATACACTTTTATGTTTAAATCCTGATTATGAACTGTATTTCTTTTGGATGAAAATAATAGAAAATCTTGACTTGGGGCTCAGCGCCTGTGGCTCAAGTGGTTAAGGCACCAGCCACATACACCTAAGGTGGCAGGTTTGAATCCCCAGCCCGCCCGCCAAACAACAATTATGGCTGCAACCAAAAAATAGCCAGGCATTGTGGCAGGCGCCTGTAGTCCCAGCTACTTGGGAGGCTGAGGCAGGAGACTCGCTTGAGCCCA